CGCACACGGGCATCACGTGTACGCATCTCAAGTGGGACCGTCCACCGCCCTCCCTTCATCTTATCTTCTTAGCTCAAACGACTACATCCACTTAATCTCACCTCGTTTGACGCTCCCATCTCCTCCGCTCCTCCGCTCTGCTCCATCTCGTCTCGCGCGCCGCCGACAAGATTGGAGATCCTCTGCCACCGGTGACGCGATGCCGGCCGGCCATGACCACCACCAACTTCTGTTTCTTCTATCCCTGCCATGGCTGCTCCACCAAACGCCTCCGGGGCGAGCTGCGCCTGTGGCCGTGGTGAGCCGCGCCCATGGATGCGAGGCCGTGCAGCGGCCGGCCTGCAGCGGAGCCTGTTGCATCCTCGAACCGGCTGCGATGCCCGAAGTAAGGCGTTGCGACCAGTGAGATAAGATGCTGGAACCGGCATGGGGATTTGCTTCAACTTGTGCAGGGATTTGCCTCAACCAGGGAGGATGGTGGTGGGCTGCGGTAAGTTGCTTCTTTTTTGATTTTTGCTGGAAACACTTTCGTTTTTTGCTGGAATCAGTTTCTCGATTTGTTGCAGCAGGAGAGGATAATGCTGGGCGCCATGACGGCGGGGGTGCCATGTTTTTTGCTACACATGATTTTTGCTGGAACCAGCCTTTTGACCTGCTGCAATCGGTGAGGATGGTGTTGGGGTTGCTACGATGGGGACGCCATGGCTTTTTTTGCTGTATTGATTGCTGGAACCCCCTTTTTCAGTTTTGCTGGAACTATATGAATTTCTTGTTGAAACCATGTTTGTTTTTTGCTAGAACCAAATCAATGTAATTTGCTGGAAACACATCATTTTTGCTGGAACCATATCAATTTTTTGCTGGAACCATATAAATTATTTGCTACAACCATGTGTTCTGCTTTTCAAACTGGCGTTGCTATTTTTTGTTGCAACCAACGAGCGGCGATGGCGACGACGAGGGGCGAACTGTGGGGAGCCAGCGAGCTTCGAGGTCGTGCAGGCAAGGATCAGTGGCGTTCATTTTTTTTTTCTGTGCATGCGAGGTAGAAAGACGGAGGGAAAAGGAAAATGACACGAGATCTGACGGTTCGGTTTTTATATCGGATGGCTGGCAGCCGACCGGCCGAAAGGTTGAGCCGGCGCGCCGGCGCCTAATAGTGCCCATACAAAATTTCGTTCAAGTCACCTAACACCATCCAAGGCATATCTTTTTTTTGCGAGAAACTGTCGACCTATTCATTTTCAATCATGGCAGTACAATGAACACCAGAAATCATGAAAATTACATCCAAATTCATAGACCACCTAGCGACGACTACAAGCACTGAAGCAAGCCGAAGGCGCGCCGCCATCATCGCCCCTCCCTCGTCGGAGTCGGGCACAACTTGTTGTAGTAGACAGTCAGGAAGTTGTCGTGCTAAGGCCTCATAGGACCAATGCACCAGAATAGCAACCGCCGCCGATGAAGAGAAGCTTAGATCGAAAAGATCCAACCTGAAGACATATGAACAAAGACGAACAAAGACCAGATCCGAGCAGATCCACCAAAGAAAACCACTGACCGAATCCCGCGAGATCCGCCGAAGACACACCTCCACACGCCCTCCGACGATGCTAGACACACCATCGGGACGGGTGCTAGGCGGGGAGAACGTTATTCCGTCTTCAAGAAGTTGCCGTCGTCTCGTCTTCTTAAAGATGACACAAACCCTAACAAAACTTAAGAAAGCACCTGAAAACGAAGCCCTCCCGTCGGCAAGGACCGGGATCCACCGTGCACCTATGACCCTAAGGCCATGGGAGGCGTGGGAGATCAGCGGCGCCGCCGACGGGAGGCAGAAACCCTAGCCGCCTATTCTTATCCAAGGCATATCACACACAACATGCAACTCGCTGAGTCTCTGCCAAGTTAGATGTTTACTCTCTCCACCTCAGCTCTCCATACACGCCTGCCAATCTCCATATGTTCTCCTATCCTCTTCCCACAAACACATCTATAATTTGGTGTCTTATGTGCATAAGAGAAATCACCACCTCCTTCCAAAATAATACCAATTCAAACCAGTATTCTTTGTCATACGCAGGTGACAGCTCGTCAATAGTCATCAATCTCAACTCTTTTTTATCACTTATAGTTCTCAGTACACGATTCTTCAAACCAGTATTCTTTGTCATATTTGGGTTGGATATGCGGCCCAGTTGTATCTTGGTTGGCATGCAGTCAGAGACCATATACTTCACAACTTTATAAATCTTGTAAGATCCTAATTAGCTTTGTTCCATTTTCTTTGTATGTCGTCTCTTATTACGTATAGTGCACCATGCTTTTGCACCACCGTATATACGGTGTGTCTCTGCACATATGTATTTTTTATAGATAATTATATATGGTCAATTGTTTTACAGAGCATGCATCATGAGCTTAGCTTTGACAGACTACTAAAGAAAACATCTCATTGACTTAAATCATATATGGTCAATTGTTTTACACAGCATGCATCATGAGCTTAGCTTTGACAGACTACTAAAGAAAACATCTCATTGACTTAAATCCTTTTTAATTAATGCATTGAATAATGATTTTGGAAAGGCCCATCTTAGTGACTTAGATTCTTTCAAATTAACGCCCTAATATGCTTCCCCGTGAATAGATTCATTCAAAAATATTCACAAAATACCATCACTTAGCCATCCAATCTAATTTAAGCATCCATTAGGACAGGCTAGTTGGGTGCAACATGAATGAAAATAGACCAATGATTGTAGAGAGAGATGCCTCGCTGATTAGTAGTAGCTTTTGATCACGCGATCTTTTAATCTTTTAAATCGGGACGTGAGCGTCTCCCTCCTATAAGTATTTGACTGGAAGGCAATCTATATATGTGCCCATGTATGTGTACCCATTTTTTTTCTAAAGGCCAAAGTGATCCTTTGGTACGTGTATGTATTTCTTTGAGCTCGCATGCATGTGTGTGTTATGTTTATCATCCTGATGTTCTTCTTTAGGAAAACTATGCTGCTGTTATGCATAAGGCCCACATCCGTGCCATACTGTTTTTTTTTCATGTACGTGCAGCCATGCAAATAGTTTTTTTCTTGTACGTAACATGATAATGGAACATAAATTATTGCATCCGCAAAAAAAGAAGAACATAAATTATTGGCACTTAGAAGCTTGCAAATTTTGGGTCATCACAGTTGTTAATTCATGATTTATCCCTTATAGTTAACATTCGATAGTAGATTCCTCAAAAAAAAAAAACATCCCATTATAGACATACTTCATTATATAAAAAACTGTTTTGCCAATCTCCTTGTCCCCACTATATCTTTGATCTGTATACACGTACATATCTTGGTAGAGCTATTTTTTTTCTTGGAAACCCGTGTCAATATTAAACGTGAAGCACCAAGTAGAGTTTGAAGCTTTTTTTGTCTTTTTCACATGGGTACCGTATCAGGCTAGGACTCTTATGTTTTGGCCAGCCTCTCCTATATATGTCGGACTCTTTCCTTGGTTGGCTGCCGATCCTTTTTTTTTTTTTTTGCTACAACAACGTAAGCTATGCATGATTGTCTCGGACTCCTTTTTCAATTAAAAGACTTTTCACCAAAGACATATTGTACACGTGACATGTCAAACTATTTGTACGTGATTATATTCTTATTCTTATGTTACTTTTGCCAATCTCAGCCCTTAATATTAAAAATTTACGGTCAAGATAATTTAATCTATGTGGATGAACGTGATGGCTTGTTTGACTCTTGTAATTATATAATAGATTCACCATTCCTCCCGTCACTACAGACAACCTCCTTGTGATCCATCGTCAATCTGCGCAAAAAATTTCAGCAGGATATTCGTCCAGATGGTTTCAGATAGAATAAGGATACTCTTCCAGAAGCACACGAGCTGTCGCCTCCTTATGCAGGCAGCGACAGTTCCATCCCAAGATTCACGCAGTAAGAAGCCCTAAAGCGCGATAGTTCCAGCCCAAGATTCATGCACTGAGAAGCCGCCCTCAAGGGAACACCTCAAATAACCAATCAGCAAGAAACCAGAGCTTCCACGCATCAAAGGAACATGCAGACGACCTGGCGAAGCAATCTGGCTAGATCAACAACGACACCTGCCGCGGAGCAAGTTAGGGTCGGACAAAGTACAGACGACCTGACGAGCAGACCGGCTGAAATCAAAGACGAGACCACAAAGCCAATGCAGAGTGAAGTGGTCGGAAAATAGCAGCGGCGTCGGCCGGCGCGGCCACTGACCTACTCCCTCCGTTTCAAATTACTCATCGTGGTTTTAGTTTAAATTTAAACTTGAACTAAAACCACAACAAGTAATACAAGTAATTTGGAACCGAGGGAGTAGATGGCTAAATCGCCCTTTTTCTGTCACAAGAGACCGCAAAGGTTGGAGACACGCATTGTTGGCTGTTTTGCGTGAGCACTCAGGAGGGAGCACCATATTATTTGCAACATTGAGTGCTTTAGATAAAAACAGCACCAGTGACGGTAATATATAGTTCGAAACAATACTGGATACAGTGGCACGAACACACAACTCCGAACATTTTTTATGACAAGTTTAGTGACGCAAGGATGGCAACTTTAGTTGTAAAGCATGGCAAGTTTCAGTTTATTTTTAGGTTTCTTTTTGCTTTTTGGATGACAACTTTAGTTGTAAAAAACGTTGGGGTTGGGGTCAGAGTGCTTCGTGCCACACGTGACACTTATCATTTGGGTAAAAAAAAAGGATATTTCACAAAGCTGAACCGTTGATGCATTTACAAAGAGCATCCTCGACCATAGTAGAGACATGACATAATGCCAAGAGATAAATAGTATGTCAGCCTACAAAAAGATGAGAAACTTGGTGCTGCCGATGGTCATCATTCTCCTATAACAGCATTTCCCTTCAAAGAAACAACTCCAAACAGGAGGAGCTTCACCAGAATCCCCAAAAAACACGAAACGGCATCAACTCACTCCACATTAGCAAAGATTGCTGTACTGTGCAATTGGCCAGCTGATACACAAGTAGAATAGTGAGCGCAGAAGAAAGGATATTGTCCTAAATTAACTAGGTGGAAAGGTAAATACCTGTAGAAGTTTTTCTCCAGAGTCTCCTCCACAGGAAGATATATTGAATGCTTACTGTTGTCCTCAGCCTTAATAAAAGTAACCCCCACCATTTTTCCAATATTCTCCGCTAAGATTTCGAACAACTAGTGAGATCAAAACAAAAACAAAAAAACACATGAGAACAAACAGAAACGCATATACATAAATAATCAGAAAATAATGTCCAATGTAGTCAGAACTTCAACTCAAAAAATAGCATTGCACGCTTGTAGTAATAATAGTAAATACTCCCTCCATTCCAAAATAAGTGTCGTGGTTTTAGTGAAAAACAACGACACTTATTTTTGGAATGGGAGGGGGGGGGGGGGTATCAAATAGCAACATATGAAGAGTGAATGTCACAAGATAAGTAGCCAGACATAGATGTACCTGTAAACTCGTAGCCACAGGTTTCCCATTGCATGTAATAATAAGATCTTTTTGCTGTAATCCCGCTGATTTCACAGATCGAGGTACCTTGTCGGGAATTAGTATCAACACATTAAAACAACATAAAGTGTTACAGTTATATGAAATGTGGCACTTTATTCTTTATCATTTATACATTAGCATGGTTAATATTCATACTGAAACATGTACCAGCTTTAGAAAGGCAATAAGCAAGTTTAAAAACTACCAAAACTTAACATGTAAGAAAAATAATGAAGGCAAGGCATACCCACTCCACAAGAAAGCCATCATCATAGCTTTCATATAAAGATGTGGGAACTTTTACCCAAGGTGAAGACTGAGCATTATGTAGATTAACACCAAAAACTCTCATAGTTGGACGACAATACATCCTGTAAAACAAGCACATAAATCAAATGGACAGAGTGCAAGAGAATTTAGAGCCACAACAAAACTCCCATAGTTAGGCGACAATGCCTCCTGTAAATCAAGCACATAAATCATATGATCAGAGTGCAGGAGAATACATAGCCACACATTTGAGCAAGGTAATGGCTTCCAAAGTTATAAGAGCATGCGTACAGGTCAAGCAAAGACAGATGATATCTCATCATTTTTTGTGAGCTGCTTCCAGATAAAGACTACTCCCTCCATTCCATATTAATAGTCGTTGATTTAGTACAACTTCGTACTAAATCAGCGACAATTAATATGGAATGGAAGAAGTACATAAGACGACAATGCTTAGTATCCAAAGGCATACCTAGTTTTTTTGAAATGATCCCACCATTTTAAAATGATGTTGGATGGCATGAAAGGAGTACAGTCTAGATCATGGAAAAGCATTCCAATGACTCTGCCATTTTTGTTTATTGCTGGACCTCCAATTGACGCCTACAAGGAAAAATTGTGTTATACAGCGAAAAAAGTACTCCCACCATCCAATAATATAGTACGCACTGGTTTTCTCAAAAGTCAATGTTCACACACTTTGACCAAGTTTATAGAGAAAATCATCTATATTTACAATACCAACAATATACCATATGAAAATATAGTCCCTGATGAATCTAATGATACTCATTTGGTATTCTAGAAGTTGATAATTTTTTCTATAAAGTTGGTCAAAGTTTACAAAGTTTGACTTTGAAAAAATCTAATAAGCACTATATTTTAGAATGGAAGGACTAGTATAACTAATTATTAGACAACTAAAAAAATGAAAATGTTACATATGTGTTTATAAATGTTGCTTTCTGCATTTCATGGCAAAACCTAGGGAGATCTGCCCAACGCTCGTAGCTGGTACAAAAACAACGAGAAAGAAAGTTAGTGCTAGTGTCTAAATTTCCTATACCATCTATTCACTTTTTTTTTATTTCGCACCCAGTTTGTAGCAATTATGTGTACACATGGTAGAAAGGAAAACAATCGTACAACACATCGCACTTGGATGGCATTTGCCAGAACACAATGCAAATCATGTTTCAGTACATGGACACTGAAAAATGTGTGAGTTTGCCAGAATGGACTTTGGCCATCAAAATATGATTTCCCTCGATCATATAGAGCATACTCACCTCTATGCTCCATTCACACTTCTATTCAGATCCCCTGCTCTTAATCCTTAATCCATTCCACCTAAATGGAGATGGAAAAGATTGCCTCATCTCCAACTCTGTCTACCACACACTCAAATTCTTCACGTTCAACCCTGATGTCCGTGGCCACCTCCAACTCCGTCCAAGAGTCGATGGCACTGACAGCCACTATAGCATGCAACTCGAAAACCCACTAAAATGAAAATGTATTCCACCTCGTGCCCATCCTTCCCCCAAATTGTGTTTGATTGTTTTACTATTAGCTGACTTCTCTACCTCTTCCCAACTTTGTTGCCGAATCTCCCTTCACTGCAGAGCAATAGAGCATTTCTCTCCTATCTTCATCTTTCGTACACACGCATCCCTACCACCAAACCGCTCCATGCTCCTGGCAATCTGGTGCAACCACCGGCACTAGAATTGCCTTGTCACCCTTTTCTCTCCTTTTCCCATCTTGCAAACCTCGCCGTACTCCTGTTATCACTTACCGATGTTGTCCGCCGCTTAAACTCCTAATAAACCTCCC